CCTGGCGCCTTTCTCTATGATGTGGATTGCCTCTGTGTCTCCGTCTAAGCAGTCTGGGAGACCCATCAGTCATTAGTCAGAGTCGTTGACAGCAGACTGAAACAGCTGGAGAAATGCTATGGGTAAGGCAGCGGGGACAGCACTGCACAGTCCAGCAAGCCAGAAAGCATCAGGGTATCTGCTTGCTGAGCAAGGTGAATTGGTCCTCCCTTGGAGACCCCCTAGGCCCTGCAGTGGGGGCGGATGCTAACTGCTGGGAAGAAACAGGCATGCTGGCCAGCACCGTGACTCACTAGGCTAATCCTCTGCCTGCGGTGCCCTGGGTTCTAGTCCCAGTTGGGGTGCCGGATTCTGCCCCGGTTGCTCCTCTTCCAGGCCCACTCTCTGCTGTGGCCCAGGAAGGCAGTGGAGGATGGCCCAAGTGCTTGGGCCCTGCACCTGCATGGGAGACCAGGAGGAAGCACCTGGCCATAGTGGCCATTTGGGGGCGGAAGACTTTCTCTCTGTCTCTCTCTCTCTCTAACTCTGCCTGTCAAAAAAAAAGGGGGGGGGAGATGGGAGGGAACAGGCATGCTTTTGGGGAGGGGCAATGAGATCCGTCCTTCCTCTGAGACGGTCAGCCATGACACCTGGCGCACTGGGTCCACTGAACACGAGGACGTCAGCCCACGCTGGCCCCCTCGTGCCTCCAGCAGGCACAGTTTGAGCGTGGGATTTACTCATCTGGCCTTGTTGTCTGCCGCCTCTTTCAGGCCTGGCAGTGTGTGATAGGCAGGTTCACTGGGTAGGGGGAGAAAGGGTGCCTGGGGTCACAAGGCTGCGTTCAGGGCAACAGGGAACAAAAAAAACACCCTTGATTTCCAGCGACGCAGAGAAGGAGTAGCGCGGCAGAGCTGGAACTGCCACAGCCGAAAACTGTCAGTTATTCACCAGGCCCCTCAACAACTCTGTGTGAGCTCAACATGTATAAATACACACGAATGCGTCAGACACTCGTGTGTGTGTGTGTGTGTGTACGTGTGTACTTCAGATGGTTCAAGAAACACGAAATTGAAAGACAAGCTGATTTTGCTGTCAAAAGTTTTGAAATCCATACGTATAAAGGACTTCAAAAAGTTTTCAAAAATGCATATTAGGAAAAAAATTGCACATGAACTTCAAAAATTTTTGTGCCAAAATAAACTCTTAATTCCATTTGTCCAAGAACTTTTAGAAGTACCCTATGTATATGTGTGTGTGTACGCACATAGTCCACAAAGAGTTCATGGAAAATGTATATTATGAAAAAACTACGTTCCACCAAAGGAACTTAACTCTTAATTCCACTTGCCCTCATATGGATATGGATATGTATATGTGTATACAGATACATATTATGAATGATAGATACAGGCTGTAACCATATACTCAATGTATCCTTTTAGAAGTTTTTAAGTGTGACCCACAGAGAATGAGAACAAAAAGAAAAGGCAGAGTTCCCACCACAGTCCTGGACTGAATGCAGTGTTTTGCTGAGTGTCCCAGACTGAGCAGGATTGGATGGTTTTAGCTCTGGGAAGTACCACCTGGTCCGGAGTCATCCCCCAGCCCCAGAAACGCAGCCCTGTGCGTGGGAAGTGACGCAGTGGTCTAAGGAAGCAAGGAGCATGTGCTGACTCATCACAGAATTCAAAAACATTCTGGAGGGGCCAGCGTGTGGCACAGCAGCTTAGGCTGCATCCCACGTGGGCACCTGTTCAAGTCTAGCTGCTCCACTTCCCATCCAGCTCCCTGCTAATGTGCCTGGGAGGACAACAAAAGAAGGATCAGGTACTTGGGTCCCTGCCACTCTTGTGGGAGACCCAGATGGAGCTTCAGGCTCCAGGCTTCCTCTTGCTCCAGCCCCACTATTGTGGCCATTTGGGGATTTGGAGAGTGAACCAGTAGATGGAAGATTCATTCTCTCTCTCTCTCTCTCTCTCTCTCTCTCTCTCTCTCTCCCCTCTCCTCTCCCTCGCTCTCTTCTCTCTCTTCTCTCTCTCTCTATCTGTCTCTCTCTCCACCCCCCACACCGCTCCCCCTCCCCCTCACTTCCCTCCATCTCCTCTCCCTCACCCTCCTCACTCACTCCCCTCCCTCCCTCCCTCCATCTCCCTCCCTCTCCCTCCCTCCTTCTCCCTCCCTCTCCCTTCCTCCCTCCCTCCTTCTCCCTTCCTCCCTCCCTCCTCCTTCCTTTCCTCCCTCCCTTTCCCTCCCTCCCTCCTTCCCCCTCCCTCCCTTTCCCTCCCTCCCTCCCCCTTCTCCTTTCCCCCTCCCCCTTTCCCTCCCTCCCTCCCTCTCCCTTCTTCCCTCCCTTCCTCTCTCCCCCATGCCTTTAAATAAGTGAATCAAATTTTTCTTTTTTTAAAAAAAGAATATGTTCTGATGGAACATAAGAAAAACAGGACTGCTGAAAAGTGGATTTGTTGATTTTTCAGGCAACACTTTCCTGGGCACTGAGCCAGTGTTGGCACCAAGCTAGCCCTAGCAATAGAGTAAGTGGGAGAAAGAAGAGCAGCTTTTTTTTAAATAAATTTTTGAAGTTTTATTTTATTTATTTGAAAGAGTTGCAGAGAGAGGTAGAGACAGAGAGGTCTTTCGTCTGCTGGCTCACTCCCCAGATGGCTGCAACGGCCAGAGCTGCACCGATCCTAAGTCAGCAGCCAGGAGCTTCTTCCAGGTCTCCCACGTGGGTGCAGGGGCAGGCTGAGTCCTGTGCCCCTGCACTGTGCGTCCGCTCATCTTAGCTGGGGGGGCCTCAGGAAGCTGAATTCCTGCCCCTGCACCTGCCCGTCAGTAGCTCAGTTTCCTTGTCTGTAAAATAAGGATAATGACAGCTGCTCTGCCTTCCTTGTAGGAGAGACCATACAAGGGTACTTCAAAATGCCTGTGAGAAATGGAATTTAAAAACTTATTTTGGTGCAAATTTTGAAATCACCTACATTTTTTTATCTGAATTTTTCATGAAATTTTTGAAAAACCATTGTATACGTATTTTACATTTTTTACACCAAAATAAACTTTTTTGACAGGCAGAGTGGACAGTGAGAGAGAGAGACAGAGAGAAAGGTCTTCCTTTTACCGTTGGTTCACCCTCCAATGGCTGCTGCGGCCAGCGCATTGCGCTGATCAGAAGCCAGGAGCCAGGTGCTTCCTCCTGGTCTCCCATGCGGGTGCAGGGCCCAAGCACTTGGGCCATCCTCCACTGCACTCCCGGGCCACAGCAGAGAGCTGGACTGGAAGAGGAGCAACCGGGACAGAATCCGGCGCCCCAACCGGGACTAGAACCTGGTGTGCCGTCGCCGCAAGGTGGAGGATTAGCCTAGTGAGCCACGGTGCTAGCCACCAAAATAAACTTTTAATTCCATTTTCCACCAACTTTTTACAGCACACTTGTATAATGTACTCCATAAAATAGATGATGTTGCTTTAAATATTATTCTAGGCCCTATCTTTGCCTTGGCCCTGGCAGCGTATGAGTTTGGGGCTGACCCTGATTGTAGGGAGCCCCTGCTTCCAGGGCCCTGTGGCATGATCTCAGAAACCAAAGAAGACTCCAGAAGTCACAGCCCCTGGGTTTTATATTGGAGGTTAACAAGGGTGACTCCCTAAGACCAGGCTGTGGTGATGAGAAGCCTCTCGAAGTCTCTGACCTCAGCATGTAGCTGCGGGCATTCATTCACTTGTCTGGTCAGCAACGTGTGCTCACCCCCTTCTTGGTGTCGGTTTGCATACATGACACAGGGGTTTCATTATACTGAAAAGCACACCAAGGACCTGCGCTCGTGCAGCTGGCAGCTAGCAGGGGTCCTCGATCCTGATTCTAAACCCATACTAATAGGTCTGTGTTTACGGAGTCCCAAGGTGAGGCCAGCAAGGTGGCAGGGCTGGACCACACGGACCCCCGTAGACCATGGTATGGATTTTTGTGTTTATGAGGGGTTTTAGGTTGGCACCACGGCTCACTAGGCTTATCCTCCACCTGTGACGCTGGCACCCTGGGTTCTAGTCCTGGTTGGGGCGCCAGATTCTGTCCCACTTTCTCCTCTTCCAGTCCAGCTCTCTGCTGTGGCCCAGGAAGGCAGTGGAGGATGGCCCAAGTGCTTGGGCCCTGCACCCACGTGGGAGACCAGGAGAAGCACCTGGCTCCTGGCTTTGGATCAGCACGGCGCGCCAGCCGCAGTGGCCATTGGGAGGTGAACCAACTGAAAAAAGGAAGACCTTTCTCTGTGTGTCTGTCTCTCACTGTCTACTCTGCCTGTCAAAAAAAAGAAAAAAAGGGTTTTAGGTGGCACCACAGGAGGCAGGGGTGGGCTGAGCCTCAACAGAAAGTGGACGATGTTTTGTGCTTGAAAAAAAGCTGACTCCTTTGAGGAAGGCTGGATTTGCTCAGTGGCCTTTACCACGTTCAGACTTGCATCTTTCCCAGCCAGGGCACTTGAGATGAGCACCGCTATGCCAGGAGCTCGTTCCAGTTCCCTGGAGGCATTTTTACAGACAGGGCCCTTGACCCAGAAGCGTGGGTTTCCTTGGTCCACCTGTCCGTTTTCCATCACCATACCAATTGCCGAAGGCTGAATCCATAAGAGGCACGTTTAGCCCACAGTTTTGGAGGCTGGAAGTCTAAACAGCACAGCGCTGCCTCTGGTGAGGGGCCCCTGACCCTGTTACCTCTTAGAGGATGGCATCAAAAGGGCAAGAGCCTATTGGGGACCACATTGCAAGGCAGGAAGCCAGAGAGCAGGCCCCACCTCTTAAAGGTCCCACCATCTCTCCACGTGGCCCCACTGGGGAACGAGCTGCCTACACATGACCCCTTGGGGACCACATCCGTGCCACCACAGTTGCTCTCAGGTGGAGCTTGAGCGTGGTTTTCCGTGTGTGTGTGTGTGTGTGTGTGCGCACGTGCACACACACTTCCCCAGGTGATTCTAATTATTAGGCAAGGTTGCAACCTACTCATTCAATAGAAGGCATAAAACAAGAGTTTTCATAGTGTATTCCCAAGACCAGCAACGTCGGCCTCTCCTGGGAACCTATTAGCAATGCAGATTCTTGGCCCTCATTTCTTGCTGGCTGAACCAGAAACTCCAGGGCTGGACCCAGACATCTGTTCCCACAAGTCCACCAGGAGGATCTGACGCCTGCCCAAGGGTGAGGAATGCTCACTGCAGGGGGCATGTAGGCAGGAGGTCTGCTCCTGAATCTCTTTGGATCTAACTGGGATCTGCTTCTAAATCTTGTGGAAGACCCCTGGGACGAGGGACAGTCATCGCACTTCTCAGGTCCTCAGTCTCTTCACCTGTAAAATGGGAACCTGGGATTAGATGAGCTCAGCGTTCCCACTGGATGTTCAGAATTTATGGGCCCACGCACACTTAAGCTCATAAGGCTTTATGATGTACTTCAAAAGCCATTTTTATATTGTAACTATAACACAACCACTGTAGGAAACTCAAAAATAGAGATAAGTTCTCACATCATTAAAAGGCATTTTAATTTTGTTGTTCATATCTCCATAAAATTCCATTCTGTTTATACTGTAATTTAGTTACTTTTGCCCAGTCTTGAATATTGAGGATTTTTCTCATTTCCTGTTATGACTGTTATGATGAATATCTGTATCTATGTGAGTTTTTGAAGACCTTCAGAGACATCTAGAAATGGAGTCACTGGATCCGTGCACACGAACTTTGTCAAGGCTTTTCCTTCATCACCAGATTTCTTTGCGGACCTAAGCCAACCCTTAGAAACGCCAGCAGGACATTAGAGAAGCCTGCCCACAACACCCTTACCGGGTCTGTTGATTGTCTTTTCACACAGCGAGGCAGCAGGAGCCGGCGGCAGCAGTGTATTGTTGTATTCGGGGCACAGCTTAGGTTATTGATGTCTAAGAGAGATCCAGACTTGAGAGCGGCTGGAAATACTCACACTGGCATTGAATCATGGGGGAGATTGTCCAGGGATCCGTGATGATGTGTTAACAAGCTTTCCTGAAAATGTGGCACAAGAATTTGATGTCTAAGGGAGAATTAAGCAGCCCTCCAAAAATCAGCAGTCATCTGCGCTTGGAGGCGGAGCGGTGGCGCTGCCTGAAGCCAGGCGTTGAAGGAGCTGATGAGTAAGGTCCCCTCTGGGTCTGGGATGCGGGCTGGGATTGTATTCCTCCTGGTCCTTTTCTGGGCACTGGACACGTACCCAGATGCCCCGAAGGCTTTGTCTCCCTGGTTCCGCCTGTCGCTTGTCTTCATCTGACAACCTCTCACTTTCATCTTTCCTGATTTTTCTTGGCTCCAGGGTTGTAGAGCAAAAGAACAGTGAGAACCTCAGAAATAGAATCTCAACCCTCATTTTTATAAAAAAAAAAAAAAAAGTGGTGAGCTTATGTCACCATTTATTTATCACATCCACTTCCTCCCATGTGTGGACAGAGACCCCAGGGAGAGCAAGAGTCTCCTTGTTGAAAACCAGTCCAGGGACCGCCCGCCCTGCTAGTTGTTAATGGGCTAACAGTAAGGAAGAGAGTTATTCCAGCTCTCACCCACACTGTTTGAATGGTGGGTGCTTACAAAAGGATTCCATGTATACCCAAAAGAATGGAAAACAAATGTTGAAACACAACTTGGACATGTGTATTCTGAATAGTATCACGTGTAGTAGCCAAAAGGTAAAGACAATCAAAAAGTCCATCAGATGTTAAAGATATCAACAAAATGTGCTGTGTACCTATAAATGGATGGTTACTCAGCAATAAGTACTGACACACGCTACCTGTGCCTGAACCCAGAAAATATGCAAGATGAAAGACACTCGACACAGAAGGCCATGTGTTGTATGATCGTTTTCATTTAAAACACTCAGAATTGGCAAATTCATAAAGAGAACACAGACTGGAGCTTGCCATGGGCTGGGGGAAGCAGGGAACTGGGGAGTGACTGCCGATGGGTACATGGTTTCGTCTTGGGATAATGAAACCTCTGGGGCTAGTGATGGCTGCAGAATGCCGGAGAATGACACACATGAATATTCTACATTTTATGTTCTGTATAGTATACTAGAATAAGAAAGGAAACTTGTTCTAGGGGATTGGAAGGTGTATACATCTAGTTAGTTGTATGTACACTCTACCACTTATGGATTGGGTGACCTTGGCCTAAATTGACTCAGTTATTTCCCCATCTGTAAAATGAGAATAATCACAACAGTACCTGCCTCCTAGAGTTATAAATCTCAAGGGAGTCAAAATGTGTGAAGTGATTACCACAATATCTGGCTTTGTAGTAAGTGTGCGGTCAATATTTCTTATTAATTTAACCCAGGTATTCTCATCCGGGGCCCCAGGGAATATTTGGCAACATCTGGAGACCCTTCTGATTAGCACCATGATGGGGCCTTGACTGGCATCCAGTGAGCAGAGGCAAAACTTGCCAGAAAACGTCCAAAAATGCACACGGCAGGTCCTACAAGAAACGGTTAGGAGCCCCTGAGAATCCTTGGTCTAAACAGAGCAGCAGGTAGGCAAGTGGACTTCATCTCAAGGGTGTGTATATTGAGAATTATAGGTCAGATAGGAATCATGTTAGAAAAAGAGTACCAGCAAAAGTACTGGATGCCCACTGTGTATGGAGAACACTATAATAGACATTGTGGGTGCAAGGGATACCAAGGTCCACACCCCCTTGAGTGGCCCAGATGAAGAAGAGCTCTGTGGGAGTGGCTTATTCAGGAGGGGACCTTTGTCATCAATATCCTTTACCAAGAGGGTGATCTGAGGTCACCACATTACTAATGCTCACATTATTATAATGCTCATCTTAAGGCAACAGTGTGTGGTTCCTGCACATGTCTCAATGTGTCTTTGTTTGGGTCAGTTCTACTGAGTGAATATGTGAATAAGAATTCACTGTCACAAATAGAAATAAGAAGTGACACAAGACACAAGAGAAAATATGAAATCTTGTATTCAACCACTCATGCCCCAAAAAGGGGATCCTTTGGCCCACTGTCCATTTATAGCAGGTGTATATCAGATTCTAAAACTGTGTATTCATATAATTAGTCTCGCCTAGATCCAGAATTTGTTCTTACAGGAAATGACTGGCTGGTTGTCAGAAGGTCTCTTGATTTGTTAGCAGTGAAGGTGTGGATAAAGACTTTTACTGCTGCTCATTCCTCTTCTCCACCAGTTCCCCTTTAGGCTACAGGCGGGAAGCCCTGCTAAGGGCTCCCACACCTCCCTAAGGTTGGCAGTGGTCTTTCCAGACTTGGACAGCAGGAAGGAGGGCTACAGAGTCTGCTGGAGCCCAGAGTGGGAACAGCCTCTTAGAGGTTCACATCTGGAAGTTGTAGCCTAGGGACGGGTGAGCCTAGGATGTAGCAGGGGACCCCCCCTCCCCCCACCAGCAGTCACCTGTGCACACCTTCCTCTGTAGCTCTGGCTTCCCCTACGTACAAGTGCTCTCCGGAAACTTATGCCCCCTGTGACCAGGATCTGGCCAGACCCAGGCAGAGACAAAGGTGAGTTAGGCACAGAGCGTGTCACAATGAGTTCTCAGAGTGACAGGAGGGTATGACCTATTAGAAATCACTTCAGTACAAGGCAGAAAGTGGCCAGTGTGATCAGGAAAGTGGCTTCCCAGCTCTGGGATTTCAGTGGAGGCTGTTTGCCTCCCGTCAGGAGTTTGGAGAAGTCTTTCTGGGGGAAAAGCAGTTGAGCTAGATCTCATGTGAATGTGCGTGAAAATGCAGACAGGCTGACATAATGTTGGAATGTTCTAGAAGACAGACCTACCGAGCTACTGAGGTAGGAAGCTGACGATGTCGGAGAAGCAGGATTGTGGAGGGGAGTGGAGGAGACGAGGCAGAGACGTGGGGACCTGCTGGTGAAAAGCCCAAAGTGCCGGGACACAGCTAAGTCGCAGGAAGCTCTGGCATTTTCTGAGCTTGGAGTGGGAGTGGGGCCTGGGTTAGGACACTGTAATTTCGTGTAAGAACTGGGTTGATAACAGAGTTATGAGGCAAGAATGTTGGTGGGGGTGGGGAGCATATAACTAAGATAAGGAAACCTCAGAAAGTTCATGAAAAATGGAGTGAAATGATAAGCTTATATTGGAGCAGAAACAATTTAAAATACATTGTTTTTTTTTTTCGTAGTATGTATTTCCGTGAACTATTTGAAGATTCATTGTATATATGGATCTCAAATTATGTTTTGCACCGAGATAAACTTACCTTGTAATTCCATTTTGCATGAGGTCATTGAGGTGCCCTCATACTTCAGCTGAAGGATCTGGCTGCCCATAGCGGCATAGCAGGGTACTTGGGGAACAGGGTGCTGGCAGGTGCCTTGTGATCTAGTCCTGGTTCTGCTGCTTAAACTGGCTGCATGTCCTCAGGCACATTACTGTACCTCTCAGTGCCTCAGTTGCTGCATCTGGAGAATGGGGGTGCACGTCTCACTTCTCAGTCCCAGGCACTGAAGATCCAATGAGTACGTGCGTTGAACACATTCTTAGTTCATCTGGAACGACAGATGTCATTGTGCCCAATAGTGCGACGTAAGAATTATTATTTTATTGAAGGTAGTAAGAGGAAATGGGAGCCAAATAGAAATAGCAGAGAAATGCAGGAAGCAGGGACTCACACATAAGTGGGTCCTGTCCACATCCCACAGGGCTTGGAGGGGCTCTACTGAGACATAGGCGACGACCCAGCAGAGGACAAGATGGAGTTCAGGGACCTTCCCGCTCCACAATGGCCCTGCCATCTCCACTGTTCTCGCTTTCTGGTCCCTAAAGCCTTGATCTTCCTGCCTGGCCTTAGCCACATGAAATTTCACTGACAGATCAGGAGTACCCCCAAGGCATCATGACTCCCCCACTTCCGTGAACAGGGAGACCTGAGGCCAAAAACTATTCTCCCTGCAAGTCCCACCCATCTGATGATGCTGTCAAGAGCAAAAAGGCATTTGGGGAGCCTTGGGCTCAGGTCACTGGAAATGTTTTACTTACAAGCAACCATGATGTTTTGGGTGTAGCTAAGGAACTGTCCCGTCTGTGTGAGTTAGGGGGTGTGGAAGGCGAGGGGTGAGGAGGCACTGGGGAGCAAGACACCCTGCCTCTTATTTTTGCAACTTGGACTGTAGAACTCAGAGCCAAACTGCTCAGCTCTTCTCTGCTACCCCCTTCAGTACTCAGACGGTTCCAATTTAATGCATGCATAAGAATAAAAATCCAGCTTTCAAGTGCTGGGCTGATTTTGCAAAAGAGATGCAGGCTTTATCCCTTTAAGATGAAACAATCATCTGGGTTTAAAGGCTTAATCTGCTGGAGTTCAGCCCAGGATGGGGTTCAGAACCCCAGAATAATTGGATGCAGCCTCAGACTTTGAACATTGGAGCTGGCCGGCGTGTGTGTGTGTGTGTGTGTGTGTGTGTGTGTGTGTGTGTGAGAGAGAGAGAGAGAGAGAGAGAGAGAGAGAGAGAGAGAGAGAGAGAGATATGCCATTAAGGAGAGAGGGAGTGAGCTCTCCTTTGCAACGTGCTGGGACAGGACAAATAAAGCTGCTGCTCCTGCTCCCTGGATGCTCAGTGGCCGACTGGGTAGGCTCCTGGGGGTTGCTGGCACATGAATGCGTGCTATTGTTCCCCGCACACGTCGGCCTACAGCGAGAGCACAAAACAGGCCCGGCCTTATTCTGGAGCGGAGCCCCCTCCATCCCTGCAAGCGGTCCTTCCAGGTCACATGCCGGAGGCCGCTGCACGCAGGACACAGCTGCCTCAAATCTGCTGCCTGACATTAGCTGCAGCTCAAAAAAAGAAAAAACCTAACAGCCTTGAGACCTTCCCGAGCTCCGCAGGGGAGGCTCCGGCTCTGCAGGCACGATGTTCTCCCAGGAAGTGTGGCCGGAAAACGAGAAAAAGTGTGCCGTGGTCCGGAAGTCCAAGCAGGGCCGGAAGCGGCAGGAGCTGCTGGCCGTGGCCTTGGGGGTGAAGGTGGGCGTCAGGGGCAGCTTGCTTTGGCCCCCTCTCAAACTCTTTGCCTGTTCGCAGATCTCCTCCCTGGTCCGAAGGGCCGCCCTCACACACAACGACAACCACTTCAACTATGAGAAGACACACAACTTTAAGGTAAGCAAACCGGGGTGTCTGTCCTTGTGGCCAGGGGAGGTTTGTGACGGTCTCTGGTCTCTGGGAGCCAGCTCCTTTGTGCCCCATGTTTGGCTGCAGGCTTCCCCCTACCCCAATCACAAGACACCTCGAAAAGCAACAGGGGGGAAGCTTGTGCCTGCAGACCCCTTCTCTGGGTCGGCAGAGATCCTCAAAACCCTCCCCTGCACCTTGAGAGAGGGCAGAGCGTGCCCAGCGGGAGGTGCTTAGAGCCCTGCTGGGGAGCCGGCGGCGCTGACCATTGCCATCTCCCCTGGGGGACAACAGTTGCCCGTGTCACATTCTGCTTTTTGTCCAACTTCAGGGATGCCCACTCCTTTATTTCTGCGTGGACAGCTGAGAAAGCAATGACAAGTAGATCCCATCCAGTAGCTTTTGTCTGTGCTGTGGAGTGGGGGTGGTGGTGGTGGGGGCATCCTTGGGTAGCCTCGACAAGCTTGACCCTGCTCATCAGACCAAACAAAAAGATCTAGGAGCCTGGAGGGAGTGCTGGTGGATCCTTCCCTGTGTGTTTATACTCAGACCTGCACTTGTAACGACTCTGCTGTCAAATCCTGGCCTGTTTCCTTTAATCTCCTGTGTTTTCCAAGAAGGGCTGGAAGGGGCTGCCTGGCTGGAAATGCTCTTGGGGGGGCGGGGGGGAGACGGGGCCGACTTAAAAGTTTTACCCCATGGCCAGCGCCGCGGCTCACTATGCTAATCCTCCACCTTGCGGCGCCGGCACACCGGGTTCTAGTCCCGGTCGGGGCGCCGGATTCTGTCCCAGTTGCCCCTCTTCCAGGCCAGCTCTCTGCTGTGGCCAGGGAGTGCAGTGGAGGATGGCCCAAGTGCTTGGGCCCTGCACCCCATGGGAGACCAGGAGAAGTACCTGGCTCCTGCCATCAGATCAACGCGGTGCGCCGGCCGCAGCGCGCCAGCCGCGGCGGCCATTGGAAGGTGAACCAACGGCAAAGGAAGACCTTTCTCTCTGTCTCTCTCTCTCTCACTGTCCGCTCTGCCTGTCAAAAAAATAAAATAAAAATTAAATTAAAAAAAAAGTTTTACCCCAGCAAATGGGCTAACTCTTTGGAAGTTGGAGAGGGTGGAGCTGCAGGATCCAGAAAGGAAAGAATCAGCAGGGGAGGCAACAATGGGAACTGCCTGCTTTTTAAAAAACTGCTTTCCTTTGGGTCCAGCGCCCAAGACAGTGTTGCAATCAGAGAACTTTTGCCAGAGGTGACCAGGAAGGTGCTTTTCTTCTGTTGCTTTCCAGTCCTTCCAAAGGACAAATGTGCATCCATTAAACACACGCTCGCCTTTGGTCTGCCTCGCTGCTTCTGTTTTTAGAAAGCCAGCAGACCCGCCATTTGCATGCTATAATTGCACCGAGGAGAAGTATGGAGCCTTACAGAATTAGCATGAGGGTGAAGAATTGCATTACAGGCAATTCTTCTATGCAAGGCTCTTGCTATTTCTCCCATGACGGAATAGTGACAGGTCTAATTTGAAGCCTAAAAATCCTTTATATTTCCTTTCTCTTTTCTGTTATCTGTTGCACCATCATTAAATATTTTTGCCTTAAGGCAACAGCAGTCCCTGCCTTCTGCTGGGTCCTCAGGGCTCACTACCCTGCATGATAAAATGCATCTTCTTGGACTTGTGCATCGTTGTCCTTCCTCTTGGACATCCCTGTTGCAATTGGGCGCTACCTTCGTACGTTTGCATGGAGCAACTTCTCAATGGGCAAGCACATTCAAAAAGCTCATGGGAAATGGACTTAAAAGATAAGTTATTTTCGGTGCAAAACATTTTGGAATCCATGCCTAGTTTTTCTGTAACGTGCATTTCCTGCAAACTTTTGACTGATTTCTTGTGTAGATTATGTCTGAGCTTGTGTTAAAAACACGTGAGCATGTTTTGTGGATTGGCGTTTTGAAAACTATTGTCAGTATCTTTTATCTTAAGATCTCTGAGTGGGAAATTAAGCTTAGGACACTTTAGCACACACACACACACACAAAAAGCTGGTTAAATCGTCTTTTCTTCAGTGACAGTGTTGCTAACATGACATGTGAAATATTTATCAGTGAGAAACACTAGCGTTTTAAATGTTTCCTTGAAAACTCAGTATCTATCCGGTGTGATCACTCCAGACTTGGCAGCCCTTGAGAGAGGGAAAAGCAGAGAATGCCTAAGTCATCTGTGAAGAATGCACAGACCAGACAGGACCCTCTCCCTCCCCAGTTTTAAATAGATGTCTTTGACACTGAGCGCACCCTGGCGTGGCTGGTGGCTTTCAATGGTACGGCTGGTGCCACTGTCCCAGAGCTCGAGTGGCTGGGGTGGGCGTTCCCTCTGGCATTCCCTGTCCCTTCCACCCTCTCCTCACCCCCAGCTAACTGCAGTTGGGAACACTGCGGGTCTTTGGAGGAACATTCGAATGCAAAGGCGGCCTGTGCTATAAATAAAATGGGGTTTTTAGTAACAAGCCACTGAACGAACTGAAGAAAGCAACCTCTTATCAAAGGCCCCTGCCAGTTGCTTGGAATTTGGTTTAGTGCCTTATTTCAGCATTAGCTTTGTGTTCATGCGGCCTCCTCACGGGCCTTATTCTGAAACCTTGATTTGTGATCAGGGTTACTGTTCAAGGGTGTAATGTGCATGGCACAGAGTATGTGCTCAATAAAAAGAACACATGACCACATTTTCTAAGATTTTGCTGTTTGAAAGGCAGAGCAATAGAGAGAAGAGGAGAAGGAGAGACACAGAGAGATCTTCCATGCACTGGAAATGGCAGCAATGGCCAGGACTGGGCCAGGCTCAAACCAAGAGCTGGGAACTCCATCCAGGTCTCCCACATGGGTGGCAGGGGCCCAAGCACTCGGGCCATCTTCTGCTGCTTTCTCAGGTGCATTAGCAAGGAGCTGGATTGGAAGTGGAGCAGCCTAACCTGCTCTTCCACAATGCCGGCCTCAGCCTCACACGATCTCATTTTCGTGCCTATCAGGAAATAGGCCTTGCTAGGCCCTGTCTGAGCTCCAGCCCAGGGACCTCCAAACTGAGATTCAAATCTACCAGTGGAGCTCAGCGCCTCACCCCACAGCAAGATTTTTTTGCCCCAGACAGGACTGTTTTTGCTCTACCCAGAAAGCTGGGCAGGAGGAATGAGAGGCAGCTCCTGGCACTCCTGTCATTCAGTCCCCCATCACTGCTCCTGAGGGCGTTCACTGCACTTGCGTCCCAAACACAGCCTGTCTGGGGAAAGCCCACACGCAGCCCTGGGAAGCACGGCACGGTCCTGCCTCCTTTTATGCAGGAGGTATGTGCTTTTCAGCACTGCAGGCTAATGCGACATTGGCTTCATCTAAAACCTGAGTTTCCTGGGGTTACCTGTGCCTACTAGGCACCCAGAGGAGTGTGTTACAGGAATGCTGAAATCGACTCCTCTCACCAATGAAAACTGTTGCTCAAGACAGAGACCACTCTGTTAATCAAGTCTTTCACATCTGTGACATAACTGTCACCTTCCCTGCCAGCACAGGGATGAGACAGCTGTGGCTGGCTTAGTGCTGCTGCGGGCTGTTTCTTCCTCTGTGTAATGGGATTGTCATGAGGCTTAAGGAACACACATCAGTCATTTCCCGAGTCTCTGGTGTCTACGAAGTATCCATTGGCTATCCACGTGTATTGATGCATTTATTCCTCATCTGTTTTGTTCCCGCCACCTTTCCTGCACCTCTGTGCTCAGCTTTCTTGACGTTCTGACTGTGCCCTCGCGTCCCCGTGTCTGTCTTCTGCCATCTCTCTCTTCCTCTCTCATTAACTAGATGTCATGCAAAATGAGACAGAGTCTGAGGATTCATGTTTTTTGTTTTTTTTTTTTTTTTTTTGGACAGGCAGAGTGGACAGTGAGAGAGAGAGAAAGAGAGAAAAGTCTTCCTTTTCTGTTGGTTCACCCTCCAATGACCACTGCGGCTGGCGCGCTGCGGCCGGCGCATCGTGCTGATCCGAAGCCAGGAGCCAGGTGCCTCCTCCTGGTCTCCCATGCAGGTGCAGGGCCCAAGGACCCGAGCCATCCTCCACTGCACTCCCTGGCCACAGCAGAGAGCTGGCCTGGAAGAGGGGCAACCGGGACAGAATCTGGCGCCCCGACTGGGACTAGAACCCAGTGTGCCGGCGCCGCAAGGTGGAGGATTAGCCTATTGAGCCATGGGGCCGGCCCTGTGTTACTACTGAAGGTGTTTTATCATGCAGCTGACGCTGGCTTATGTTTTCCTCATGGATTTAAAATGTAAATGAGTGATTTAGATGTTTTTAGATTTCCCACATGTTCCCCAATTTTGTAATGTTTTTAATCTTTTTTCAAAGATTCACTTATTTATTTGAAAGGCGGAGTTAGAGAGGCAGCGGCCGAGAGAGAGAGAGAAAGAGAGAGAGAGGTCTCCATCTGCTTGTTCACTGCCCCAAAAAGTCACAATGGCTGGAGCTGGGCCAATCCAAAGCCCGGAGTCTGGAGTTTCTTCTGGATCTCCCACGTGGGTGCATGGACCCAAGCACTTGAGCTATCCTCATTTGATTTCCCAGGCACATCAGCAGAGAGCTGAATTGCAGCGCGCCGGCCGCGGCGGCCATTGGAGGGTGAACCAACGGCAAAGGAAGACCTTTCTCTCTGTCTCTCTCTCTCACTGTCCACTCTGCCTGTCAAAAAAAAAAAAAAAAAAAGTACTTTACTTCTATGAGGACTCAGTGAGTTCCTAACGGTGCCAGGACCAGAGACCACAGAGGTGACCAGGTTTGGGGGCCAGAAGTCAAAAACCAAGGTGTCAGGAGGGCATGCTGCCTCTGGACGCACTGAGACAGGAGCTGGACCATGTGTCCTTCTGGGTTCTGGTGGCCGCTGGCCATCCTTGGAGTCTTTGGCTCGTGCACTCATCACTCTCACCTCTGCCTTCATCTTCCTGGCGCCACCTTCTCTGTGTCCA